CCTCCTCCTCCTCCTCCTCCTCCTTCCTTCTGGTTTGAGACCATCTTTTGTCCCAGACACACAACGCAACATGTAATGGACGTGATAATGGCTTCCATTTTCCTGCAGGAAGGAGGAAGAGGCGAGCTTCTTCAGGACGAGCTGGCGTCCTTCGACCTTCCAGTATGAAGACATTGTGCGCTTGTCAACGCCCAAAACCAGGAGCCGGAGCTCCCAGGAAGCACGGTAAAGGCCTTGTTAGATGGTACCAAGCATGAATTAGGGAGTTTTAAGCGTATTTGGATGCCAATTATTTAGTTTATAGACAGCCGTGTTGGTATAATTAGGATTAATTACGCTGCATTTAGTTAAACATCTTTAAGAGTCTGTTTATGAGATGTTTAGATATGCAACCTAAACATCGTAATGAACAAAAACCTTACAAACAAATTTTTCCATTTTAACGCTCATAAGTTTAAACCTCTGTGGACCCTCCATGACATCATCTACGTTTCCTAAAAAGACGTTTCTAGACCCTGAACTGTCCTATGATGGCATCCGCCTGTCCTTTAGAGCGGCCACACCCTTAATTAGGCATAACCTAATGCTTGAATACATTTGAAATGAGATATTTGTTTGACATTTTTTTCACATTTTGTAGACCAAGCAATGAATAAATTCATTTAATCATTAGTTGTAGCTCTAAATTAAAACTACATAGGCAGAAGCCAGAGCTACCCAGTTATAATTGAATTGATAATTGTGTTTTCTCAATTTGAAAACATAGTCACTCTATAAAACCACTTATTACTGCTTTACTGTGAAGAAATGTACAAAACTCTCTTTGAGGTGTCTGTTTTAGAGATTATTTCCACATCCAGCTCTCCAGTTTGTAACATGTCAGATTCCAAAGCTTTTATTGTCTCCATGAGGCCCTCATGCAAACCAAAGTCTCGAGTTTACTCGCAGCAGAATGTAACATATCATAAAGTTAAATATGAGAAGGCAGAGCAGAGGCTCCGCTCCGACACTAATGTCTCCACAGCGCACGAGGAAGCCAGCGTTGGGACATCTGTTATTTCAGTGTCAGACTGTGGGAGAGCGAAGAGCGGAGACAATAGAGCTTATTGTCCAAAGTTCAGGACCCCTGGGACACTCGCAGACAGCCGCGGAAGTCTTTTTATAAATCCTGCACACAGCAGCAGCTGAACATGTTGTTGGGCACGGAGAGAGACTCATCCAGGGTTTATTTTGAATCCAGTACAGCAAGGAGACGTCTTTGTTTGTGTTTTCAGTGACAGACATTACACTGATTGCTGTTTTAATGCTCCGTACAAGAAATAATCATCACCAGCAGCCGAGGCCTAATCCTCTCATGTTGTTGCTCCAAAAAAGACAGACGGATAAATAAACCAGACAAAACAAGGCAGATACAAATCAAACGCTTTTCCTTCTGAAATTAGACTCTGGAGAACAAAAACACCAGTACAGTTTCTTTACCTCTGGGTTTTTTAGACTTCCAAAAAAATACTAATATTAAGATAGATGGATTTGTTCTTAATAGTTATTATAGAGACAATACAAGACAAACAAATAAAATCAACATAGGTCAATATAAAGGCAATAATAACACATAACAATCACCCAAACACGACTTAATATTTTATGAATTAAAGCCTAAATGGAACGGTGCACTAATAACAAGCAGATGAGACATAAATAACAATTAATTACTTTCAGCCCTTAATTGGGAACTTAAAGAAATGTCAATATTTGTGGTAATTTATTTATTTTTTTTAATCTTTTTGCATAGTGAGGATATTAGCGACTCAATTTCTTAGCTTGTCTCTGAGCTTTTGACTGCATCCACTGATCCTTCTGATTGGGATAAAGTTGAAAGCTCCAGTATAAATGCATTATGTTTACAATATTTACCACATTATATTTTTAATTCGGTTAAAATCCTGTCTCTAGTGGTAAAGCAGAGGACTGTTGTCCAGCGACTGTAGGGTTAAGTTGTACAATTCTGTAAGTAAAAGCATGCTTTGAAAAGAACAAACCATAATATCATGAAAAAGTAAGAATTTTAGAGCAATAAAGGAAGAAGAATGTGAGAATAATGCAGCTCAGGATGATATTTAAAGCGCTGTGTGTTCGTCCCTCAGGCCTCCTCACACTCCTCAGTGTGAGACTAACTGTCCCGTGTGGCACATCGATCCCAGAGTCAAAACTGCTGTGATCTCTGCTCGACTGCTGCAGCTCTCCAGCCCCAAACGGACGCATCCTGACTTCCAGAGCAACAGGGAGGTAAAATCTGGATATCTGTTACCGAAGAACTGCTCATGCTAATTCATGCCTGCTTTAACTTGCTCTGCGGTGGCTGTTTAATGCTTAATCTCTTCTCGTGTAACCATCACAGAACCACGATTATGACCTAAGTGAATACACAAAAATGTCTAATAATGTAAAAAATTAAATTACTATTTAATCATTTAGGGGTGTGTAGTCAGGGTAAAAGTGTTTCTTCTCTTTTATAACAGCAAAGGATTTATTGATGCTACAAAACAAAGGGTAAAATTCCATTAAACAGTCTTTAAATAGTTGTAATAAAATTTTAAGAGACATTTATAAGCCTCTGATTTTATATTTGTAGCTTCTAAGATGCTTCTGATTTTTTGAGAGCTGCCTTTGTTTAACACAGACCTCAGATAGGATTAATTTACAGTTGGCTTTTGCAGAAAAGACTTAAAATAAACCTTGGTCTGATCTTTTTGACCCTTTGTGTCATTTATTTCATTTTTGCATGGTGCCGCCTGCAAGTTGTTCATTTTCATCGTCCTCATCGCTCACTGATGTTTGAGTTAACTTCGTCTAAACTTCAGGAGTAAACAGGATTGTGCTGATAGCAGATTTATGAGAGCTCAACCCTCCTCAGCCGCTGTTAAGATTCATTGTGACGACACAGGTGAACAAAATCTGAACGTCGTCTGCCTGTTTTTCTGCAGAGCGTTGCCTCAGTCGTCTCCTTTGCGTCCAGAACAGCACGAATCTCTAAGAGACTGGTCCAGCTATCACTGCCCAAACTGAGGGAGAGCAACGTCTGCTACGAACTCGGACGTCCAGAGGAACCCATCTGGACTGTAAGAGCACTCACCAAGGTCACTGTTAGGGTTGGCTCGTGGTTTCCATGTGGGTGCGTGTGCCTTAGATTCCATTTACCACAAAGATCCACGCTGAAGATTTGTGACAGGGCAGACTTTATGCACTGCAAGAGCGCTGAATGCACATGGCAGGGAAACAAAAGGTGCTTAAAACAAATCCTCACTGACCTCAGGAACAAACACACGAATGCACCTGCAGCTATATCCTGTGAAAAATGCAAAGTCACAGTCTTTAAAAACACCCACACGAGCCCTCTGTCTTCTTTTTTGTCTGTCTGTCTATGTAGCCGACCAGCATTTACCTATCGCATGAATAGAACCGCGTGTGTCCACTTTCCGCTATCAAAGGCCGCATCGGTCATGTATTGTATTTTCTGTTTTCACAAGGACAATAGACAAGCCGCGTGCAGGCAGAATACGTTGCACTAGCAACTATGCTACAAAGACGTGCAGAATATGTAGATGTAAGCTGGCACATGAATGGACCACAGTTGTCCAAGTGAATTAAGAAATATATTTTAATAGTAACTAAGTGTCCATGGTGTCTGCAGCTGTCTTCATGTGCGTCTACATGGGAATATATCCAAAGTTTCATAGAGCATCATCCCATGTCAGTAAATACACTTTCCAGCCAATATGCTTCCTGCTACAAGCATAGAAGATGTTGTGCTTCATTTTGTGCCTCAAGCAAGAAAGAGTTGCAGTTGAGAATATTTAAAACAGCTTCAGAAACATCAGCGTCGCTCTCATTTACAGTTTTTAAGTGTCTATTTTTGTAACGTTGCTCATTTCCATCTTACACCCACGGAGCTGTTACTGATTAAATTTAGCGACGGTTTTCGGATTTCAATTTCAATAAACGGCTTAAAGTTTAAAAGGTTAATGATGCCACATAAATACCATTAGGCGTCTCTGTTAGTTGAGTCTCCTAGAAGTCTTTAAACGGCGACAAACACAAAATCCGAGAACAAAGCATTCTTCTCTGACTGTATGCTCAACATCACACAGTCAATTAAAATATTTTCCAGCTGTTTGAACCAGTTTTCACATGATGAATACATCTTCCAATTAACTGCGGAACTCCCCAATCGCTGCTATCATCAGGCAAATGGCTTTTTGATGAATCCCCCTGCGTGTGCATAATTTACAACTATTTATTGGCCATCTGTCCTCATGATCTGTTGTTTTGCAGTCTGCTTTTTATGATTTAACGGATGAAAAACATCAAGTCGGACAGAACAATGAAACAGCAGCTGACTGTGCGACATGACTGCCAGCTTTTAAGACACGAGTTTCTGAATTTACTCTGCATTTCTAAATGTCTGAATCTCTACAATCAGGTTTCGAGGGCAGCGAGGAAAGCCACAGTAAGCACTCGTGTTGAGATGCTTGCAGCACCAAAGCAGCTTTCCAACGACTACATCCCTCCTCGAGAACCAGAGTGGAGCCGGAAAAACATGCAGTCCACCTGAGCATCTGTCAGCATCACCTCCAAGTCAATGTTTTTGTAATTTGTAACCTTTGTCAAACTGATTTCATTCTGCTCCAAACTAGCACCATTTAAAACCCACGTCAAGGAAAAGTAAAAATGCAGATTAAGACTAACACTAGATTAGATTTTTAAGAGAAGATAGACAGCAATGATGCTGATTTAATGTCTTTCTGTGCTTTATTTCCCTTTTATTTCTTTGTGTTCAGTATTTTTTCAAATCATTTTAAACTAATTATGGCAAAGTTTTCGCTTGCTGACGGAAAAAATGACCAAACCCACAAACCACGCAAAGAAAGAAGCCCTACGTCTTCCTGGAAACTCCAAACAAAAGGAAGACAAATCCAGACAAGAGAATGCGCCAGAACTTTTTAAAAACATGTCTCGAAGTTTTAGAAGACAGTAAATTAAATACAGTTATTATAACATGTAATAAAATCCTCACTGAGCAGCTGGAGGATTTTAAAACTGTTAAATTCTAATCTTAGTTTGAGACATCTGGAAGAGAAATGATGATTCTGTGTAGTTCTTTTGATATCATTAGCGTGTGCATGAAACCTTAAATGATCCAGCTTTGAACTGTATTACAACCTAATTACAAATATTAAATCTGTGATCTTACAAAAAAAGTGAAATGTTGTGAATTAAAACCAAACTGTGACTCTCTTCGTCTACGATCTGCAGCCTTTGTCCAGCCTCAGTATGATACAGTGATCCATGTGGTTTTTCCATTGCAGCTGAGATGGATTCTGCAGTTTTATTGCAACCATGTGTGCACGAATCCCTGCACTTATTCAGTGTGTATTATAAGCTTTAAAGAGCATGTCTGTGAAGCTTCTCAGTCATCTACTATTGTATAAAGTCATATATCTATGATTGTATGTTTAAGTGCTAAAATGAAGGCAACTCGACGAGTGTCTTGATGTTTCATGTCTCTTCTGAAAGGCCTCTTCAGGTGTAACTGACAGATTTGGAGGCCCAGGTACTGAACCTCTTGTGGGGTTTTAACACACTGAGAATTGTTGAGGTTGCATGTAAGTTATTTCATTTGAGTTGTGAGGGTCTCCTGACTGAGGTGTTAACGGGTGTTAAGCTGCCTGAGGAGGGACCTCAGGACTGCATTGTAGGTGATTGATAGGTGGGGTCCTCTATTTAGTGATGGGCGTCCCAGTTTGACGTAGATGGCTTCATTCACTCCTCTTTCCAACCATTGGTCTTGTTGGTTAGACCATCATGTGTACACTGTTGCTCTCTGACTATCCCTTTCAGGACTGCTGAATCCTGACCCGAAGCATTGATTCTCCTGTGTTGTGCTTTGTGAAGCGGCTGCTTTGTTTCCTCGACGTACGTTCTGTGAACTCGTCATTTCATTGAACTGAACACTGTGTTACTCTGGTTCTGTCTGACTGTTTGTTCTCAGGGTGAACAAGCTGCTGCCTCAGCGTGCTGTTGGGTTTCAAGTTCATAGGAATGTAGTTTGTTTAAGATCCTTCTGAGTTGTTCAGATCCTCCTGCCATGCAAGGAATAACAATGCTGTTCTGTTAATTGTTCTTTTCCTCTCTGCTCTGTTTTTCTTCTTGGCTTTGACAAAGGCCCAGTTTGGGTAACCACACGTTTTAAGTGCTTCTCTGATGTGTTTGAGCTCATTCTCCTTCTCCTTCGTCACTTGTTGGAGGCAGTGTGTGCCTTGTGGGGACACACTGCCTCCAACAAGTGAGAGAAAGACAAAGCCATAGACCGTTTTCCATATTATTGTTTGCATCATGGAGAAGCCCCCTCTTGTATTTATGGACTCCCCACAATAGACAAGGAAAGAGTCCTACTCAGACCAATCATCACTACATCAAAAGCTCCTGGTAACCTAAGATGTCACTAAAATCTTCACGTGCATCCCCATCCCAAAGCAGAAAAGACTTTAAGGAGTTGATCACTACAGGACCTACTCTGTCCAGGAGAACCAACCTCTCCTGACAACATTTGTACCCTGCTCGACCTCAGCCTGATGACCACCTACATCCAACATAAGGAGGCTTCTTCAAACAGATGCACGGTTGTGCCATGGCTCATCTGTGTCTCCAATCATGGTTGATGTCTATAGTCTCACTAGAGCCCAGATCACCTTCACAGGAACTGCTCCCACCTGTTGGTTTGGGTATGCAGATAAAAACTGGATCAGAATCAAAAAACAGAAAGTCAAAGCCTTTCCAAAATACATCACTGCAGTGGACAGAAACAAGTTTCCTTGGGAGGATGTTAGAGGATACATTCTGGCCTTGTCGGACTGTATGGTGCACTGAAGATGGCAGAAACTTTAATATCAAAATATACACACAGATCAATATTTACTATTCGATTCTTTGCACCCACTGGAGCACAAGTTGGTGGTTTTAGAACCCAACACCATCAGGCTTACAGGGAAGTGCAGAAAATTTGTGGTTACTCAAACTGGGCCTCTGTCAAACCTACGAAAAGACACAGACCAACACGGCATCCCTGTGGAGTTCAAGCCCAGCAACATGCTGAAGCAGAAACTTGTGCACCCTGAACACAACTCCCCCAGGCATAAGGCTACAGGCTACATTCATCATAATTCATTTTCACTTTAAAACATGTTTTACATTCAGACACGTGTTTTAGCACCATTTCAGAAATAATCTCATGTGTGCATGCAAACACAGCTAAAGATGCATGTCACATGACCATTCACGTATACTGGGCGAGTGGATGCCAGTTAAAAGCATGAAACAGGGGGCTGGTTGCTTAGCCTTTGTTTTCTTCTGGAAAACGTTTACGAACGACACGTAAAAACAGAGGTGATGAGGAGTCATTGATTACAAAATTCTCAGTTTCTGCTAGTCCTGACGAATACCCAATCCTCAGCTGCATTTCTAAATGCCTCCCTTCTAGGGGTCCTAAAGCGCTGCAGGAGTGTAGGTGCCAGATGCAACTGTAGCAAAGTTGTGCTTTTAAAGACCAAAACATATTACTGTGGATGTACCTGTTGTGTAGGCAGCTTAACGCAGCAAAGAGTCACAGACCTGTCCATTGGGAAACAAAACAACCGCTTTATAAGTGCATGGCTCAACCCAGGAGGCAGGAGGTGGCCACTCATCAGCCACTTACAATGCAGTCCTGAGATCCCCAGACAGCTTACAAACCCATTCACGTCTCAACTCAGGGGACCCTAATGACTCACATGATGGCCGGGTGGGTCAGTAACGTGAGCAGAGCCTCCCTCAAGGTGCCAATAACACCACAGGAATATAGATAAGTACGTCGTGTTTCAGACGAGACATGAAACGTCTTCAACAAAGTCCAGCTGCCTTCTGTAACTGTCCTACTCATGAGAGAACGAAATAAATGACAGCCGTCAAAAGCTGCTCTTTTACTCAGAGGTCACGACTTGTTGAGAACTTCACATGCCGACCACCATTTAGTTAACAAAGGCCATGGAGGCATCAACGTGAAAATCCGCCCTAATCCCTTTTACACTGCTGGAGCCTGTAAGTGAGTGTTCCATAAAAAATGGACACATTTGTGTGTTCAGAGGCGGCAGCCAACGTGGTTCTTAGATCAGTGCAGGTTTGTGGCCCGACTCGAGGCAGAGGCCAGCCAGACATCAAAGGAGATTGAACCTACGTCCCGCTGGGAGGCTAATCTGGGATTAACCTGCTGCGATCGTGAGGTAGAGATCAGGAGGAGGAGGAGGAAGTGGGGGGACACGAGGACAAACAATGAGAGAGAAATTAAATATAAAAAGCAGTAATGCATTTGTAGGCCAGTTATGGAAGAAAATGAAGTTATACTACTGAGTGACAGAGGGGCTGCTCATTTCTTTTGCATCATTTATTGTTGTTAAAGAAGATTTAGACGCTGTTGGTAAAGCTTTAACAGTGATGGAATCCCACTTTTTAACTTGTAAAATCTTTGAGAACCTTTTTTTTATTTAAAAATAAAAAAGTAAAAGAAATATTTTCTCTTTCTTTTTCTCTAATGTCATGTCAACATTATCAACAATAACCTAGGCTGTACTGTATTCCTGAAAATGAAAATATATATATATATTGAAGATTCAGTGCTTTCTTTAGCTCTAAACCACATTGCACATGGGCCTGTTAAATCTGGACTAAGCTACATTTTAAATACCGTTCAGATCTCATTTCAGGCTGCTGAAATCTCTCTTCAGTCTGTGAACATACAAGAAAAGGGTTTTTCCACTGCTTCTGTTCACATCAGACCAGATCTAAAACCACTGCTACATCATCCCTAAAGTTAAAGTCAAAAGTTCTTTTAAACTTTATTCAAGCTACACAAAAACAGAAAATTTCACTGCATTGCTTTGTTTCTATCCTGTGTCAGTTTCCTTTAGTCTTCATCACCATCCTCAGCAGGTGTGTGCTTAAATTATAACCGTATGAAACCATCGACTGCAGGCTTGAGTGCTTCCAGAATGAGAAGCAAACAAAATGCCAACTCGCTGGTAAAACCCTCCTCAATAGCGTTGCTAAAAACTACAAGGGGTTTCCTCACAGACAACATGAATACTTCAATCAGTGGCGGGAAAGAGCCACACATGGTGTTCATATTGTTTTGTCTACCTCTTGTAATTTTATTCACCTGTACAAAAGGCAGATAAAAGTAGAAACGACCACTAAAATTTTAGCATCTTGTACAGAAACACCAATCACAGCTGCAAAATCTGCCCAAAAATTGAACGAACATTACAAATTACAACTTTAATGACCGAATATCTGCTGCAAACAAAATCTAGACTCCTGCTTGGACAAAACCATAGACTGTATAAAAGATGGACGTAGCTACCGTGACGTCACCCGTTGGTTTCTGCACTGAGAAAATGAAGCCAGGGTTTTGCTACTTCCTGGTTGACATCTTGGATTTTTGGAGCCAGTGATGCAAAAATCGTCGGAGGGGGGCGGAGCCATAGGAGCAGCGATTGGTCAGATGGATTGAGAGGCGGGTCCTCTCTGCCCCGCCCACATTTGCCACCTTCTGCTCACTTCATCTGCATGTCGCTGCCAACTGTCAATCAAGCCAGCCACGCCCCTTACCCCGCAAAATGTTGACGATTTTTAAAAAATTCAGTATTGATTTATTTTCAGATTGGCCACCTGATCTCTGAATTTGACCATGAAAACTAATAAGAAAAGAACCCTGAGCTGGAGGAATGCAGTATTTCGTGATCTGTGATCACTTCTTTTCCAATTCAAGTCTATGGGAGCCAGGGCTTTTTGGAGCCAGCGACTAGTGGACGTAGTGATATTGCAGGTTTTTGACACTTCCGGGTTGGCTTCATTTTTCAGGGCCGGTTGCTATGTCCATCTTTTATACAGTCTATGGACAAAACAGGACATTTTACTGCTTTGTAACATATCACAAGCGATTTAAAGCAGAACAATGGACGTATTTAGTCATGCCGTGTTGTTGTTGGCTACAGTTTTAGTCCGTTTCTGCGTCTGTTGCAGTCAGAGGTGAAGTTCTCTGAGTCTTTGCTGTCTTGTTGTCGTGTTTTGCCCGTGGTCTGCCACATGCGGTTTGTGCCAGCAGCCTTACACCGGATGTCGTGTTGTGTGCAGTCGGCCTCACCTTCTGCTAAACACAGGAAGCCGTTAAAGCAAGACGTTCTCGTATGGTGTCAATTGTGTTTGAAAAGCT